TTGTTTTCACTCTTCACTCTCCCCTTGAAAGCCCTTCTACATCATCTAAGAGCTTCCTCCAAAAGCGGGAAAAGATAACTCGGACCTCAATTTGGGGCTTAGCCTAGAACCAAGCACTGAGGTTTTCCAGACCATCAAGCTGAATTCCACAGATGTCATAAGCATGTGATTCCCACGGTCTGGGCTGTTCCCCAAAGATGCCAGAGACATTTCTACCTTTCACTTCTTTAATTTTACTCCATCTCTTGTGAATATAATGACTATGTCTGAGAATTATTCTTACCCATATAATAAGGATTTCTTTCTCCCAAAGCATCTTGGAATAGGCTTAACTTCCATTTATAACATCTAGATATTATACATATCTGAAATGACTCATATGGTTGTCCCTAGAGCCATTATATCTATCTAAATACAAGGATCGTGATCACTGAATCCTGGGCGTCAATGACAAGCAGTGTAGCCCAATGTTTACATGCATGGACTCTAAATCCTGATAGTCTGGGTTTAAATCTCAGCTCTGTCTCTTAAAAGCGTATGAGCTCTGACACTTTATTTAACCTTTATTTAACTTCTATGGGCTTATTTTTCTTATCTGTAAAAAGAAGGAAATACTGATCCTGGCATCTACCTCAGCAGCTTGTTATGAGAACTAAATGAATTAACACTTATAACATGCTTTAGGACAGTACCTGACACACAGTGATCACTGAAACAACAAAAGCCATTAATTATCCCTAGAGTTCAAAGCCTGTGACTGGGAATGACCACGGGCATGTATACAAAATACCACGTATATTTACAAATCCATTCATAGGGAAATATACAGATGTGTTTCTTCCAGGCATGATGTTTTAGTTATAGGCCTCTGTCCATAAGTTGACATCTTATATTCATTTATCTTTCAATTGGAAAAACTGAGAATGTGAACTTTTGAGTGAAAAACAATTATCTTTAGCTTAAAGCAAGTAAAGCTCAGAAAACACATTAAAAAAAAAATCTAGAAAACTTAGAGGAAGGAGAAAGACTCAAAAGAGGTAATGACACGGGGAGGGGGAAGGGAAAGCTGGAATGAAGTGAGAGAGTGGCATGGACATATATACACTACCAAACGTAAAATAGATGGCTAGTGGGAAGCAGCCGCATAGCACAGGGAGATCAGCTCGGTGCTTTGTGACCACCTAGAGGGGTGGGATAGGGAGGGTGGGAGGGAGACGCAAGAGGGAGGAGATATGGGGACATATGTGTATGTATAGCTGATTCACTTTGTTATAAAGTAGAAACTAACACACCATGTAATGCAATTATACTCCAATAAATATGTTAAAAAAAAATTAAGCCTATAGAAGTATGATTGGAATCTGACTACTCTAAACAAGTCCACATTCAATGACCTACTGTATAGCACAGGGAACTATATTCAATACCTTGTAATAACCTATAATAGAAAAGAATCTGAAAAAGAACAGACATATATATATATATAACTGAATCACTTTGTTGTACACCTGAAACTAATACAACATTGTAAATCAACTATACTTCAATAAAAATTAAAGATAGTCCACTTTTAATTTCTTACAATAACAATGAATTAAACAGTACACAGTAACAGTCACGTGGCAGGTGTCAGGAAATGGAAGATAACTTTCTTCTCTTAGTATTGGGAGAACCACCCACGTTAAGTGGAGAGGGGATTAATCCTCTGGTGGGGGAGGTTAATGTTTAGAGAGTCTAACAAGATAAATTTTCTCATGTTTGTTCATCCACTTCTGACCGGACACCACAGGACCTAGATCTAGGTTGCTTTCCTTTAACTCCTGCTTTCAACAAGATACAATATATTCATACATACATCCACAGGATCCCTTAGAAAATGTATGGTTTGCTTTCATAAAGTCTTAAGATTAACAACCAGAATATACTAAACATGATCTTATAACATTCCTGCTTTGTATCAACTGAAAATAGAAACACGAACATGATGTTAGTAAGGCAATTTCATGTTACCTGACAAAACAGAAGTGTTTCTGCCCTTAGCTTGTGGTGCTGTACCTCTAGGGGAAGGAAAAGCCCCAATGGAGATGGGTTTAGCCAAAATGGTTATTTTCACACCTGTGCAGTGAACCCTCAAAGAGCACTTATCCTAATTTCTAATAGAGAAAGGCCTTCACACGCAGTCCTATTGTTTAATAAATTCTTGGCTTAAGACCTTGCTTCAGACCGGCACGAAATTGCTCTGCCCCTGAAATGCCAAGGCAAGTGGACGAAGCATGAACAAAGTACCACAGGGATGAATAAAGACCCGGAGCAGCATTCTGTCCTCAGTAGAGCATAAGAGAACATCAGTGTGTACTGTACCACCAAAGACAAACACGGTGTTCTCAGTAGTGGAGTGAGGGAGCGAAGCCAGGCTTCAGCATCATAGTATCCCCGTTCCTCCCTCTCTGGCCCAGGTCACCCGAGGATCCAACATTCTGCAGGAAGACAACCCTGGACAGAGTCCTACAGAGTCAGGGACACAGCCAGTGGCAGCCCACAGGCCTGGAATCACCCAGCAGCACTCCATAAGCAGCTAGCGTTAAGTCTGTAAGCAAGAGCCATGAAAGCAAAAATGTTTTCTGAAAACTATGAAGGCTTGGCTACACATGATCTTATTAAAGAAAATAAGGGAGGCTACAATACATTTTTTTATTTTATCCTAATAACGTATTTTCTTTATATGTTCTCGCTTTAAGAGCAGAAATAGTTTTGGAGTGACCATGATCATGATGGTAGCAACAAAAACATTCTCTAATGAAATTACACATCATCAGCTTAGGGAGGGGAGATACCTATGTCTCTACATCTGCAGTATCTCTGAGATCCACCATGGCTGGTCAAAGTAAATGTGAGATAAACGTTCAAAAGTAGAGTTTCAAATAAAAACAGAAAACTAAGTGTATCTGAGTGAAGCTGTCTTTATTTCAGTACCTTCAGGACAACCTAGAGAGAGAGAGAACGGATGCACAGGTGTCCCCCATCCACACCTGCAGTGGGGCCTCCCACCGTCTCATAAACTCAGGTACCCTTGCAAAATTACATTTTGGCAAACCAGCAAGAAGAGCACTCCTCTATCTTTCGTTCCTTGGGCCTTAGGGATTTTAAAGGAGGATGTGCTAGCCTGCCTCTGGCAGCCAGCCTGGCAGAGGGCTGTGCGGTGTGGTGTCAGCAAGGAGGGTCCACTCAGGTCCCAGGCCATGCAGAAGTGGCCCCAATGCCAAGGCTCCCTTCCCGTTTAGAAGCCCCCTCTATGAAACAACTTATTTCTATTCATTGTTGTAATCTTTCTTCAGATCAGGCTGACAGCCCATTAATCATTTCTGTCATCCCCCTACATAATCCAGTGCAACAGATCTCTGTTTTTCTAAAAATCTCAGTGCCAGAAACTAAGCTCAAGAAAGAGGAAATCCTTCCTCCAAGGGACTGGCCAGGGTGCTGACTGGAAGAAGCCACCAATCATGTTGACTTGCCTCGTTTGCCCAGAATCACACAGAACATTCCCTGGAAAGTTTGTAGAGAGGATTCAGGTGGGAAACAGAGGCAGGGAGGCTGAAGAGGAACCCAACACACGAAGCCCCCAGCTGAGGAGAAGGTGAGAAAGGGAAGTGGATAAATCAGTGCCAAGTCAAAGGCAGATAGGGATTAATAAAACCCTTCTTAATTTTGTTATCAAGCCCAATTGTTCTAGCAACTTTAAAACAAAGAAAAAGTATATTAAACGCCAAGGCTGCAGCCACCACAGGCCTTCTACCTCCTGAACCAATGAAAAACTAACATTAACTAAAGATAAAACAAAGTGCTAAAATGGCTAAGAAAAAGCCTCTTATGGAGGCAGTATACAGCTTGCATAATAAAGGTGGGAGTGACCTCCAACCCACTGACCTCTGGGACTGATTTTTTTTTTTTTTTTTTTAATGTGGATAAGCCTGGTGGGTAAGAGAGAGCATGGATGATAGAAACCAGGAGACAAAAGAGCCATGATCATGACTCAACCACTCACACATCGTTATTAGGTCCTACTGTGATCTTTGCACAGTGCAGAAGTTAATGGCATAATACAAAAGGCACAAGATTAGCAGTCGAGCAAATTGGTTTTTCCTCCCATGCCTGACGCTACCAATCTGATCAATGACAAGTGCCTTTACAGATGAGGGAGGATGCCCAGAGATGTAAAGTGAGGACATTATGCTAACTGGAGGATGCCCAGAGATGTAAAGTGAGGACATTATGCTAACTTTCAAGTCCTTACAAGATTCTTGGACTCTCTGGTTGACCTAGGTGGTTTTAAGATCTCATGCAGTTCTGAGATTCCATGATTTTATTATGCTCATAAGGAAAGGCCAACTATTATTATAAGAATGTATTTCACAGACAGTGGTTCTCCTTTGTGGTGTTGAGTCAACTTGTAACGTGTAGTAATCAGTTACGTCTCAAGAGGTTTGATCTGAATAAATGTCTTCTATACCAAAGTTTGCGAATGATTTCCTTAAAACATAAATTAGAGCAATTTAGTCTTCATTTAGTTATGTGATTTTTCAACTGCCATTTTCCAGAAAACACTGGCCCTCGTGAGTACAGAAGGAGACAAACACATTGTGGGTACTATACGAATGGCTTATAATAACCACCACAAAAACATTTAAAAATGCATAGAACACTGGCTCTCTTTACCTTATCAAGAGATAGTATATAAGTATGATTTGGGTAATTTAAGGGATTTCCAAGGGTAAATCTGACAAGTATGGTCTTGGAAAGACACCTCCTACATAATCTCCTATGTCATAATATATTTTAGAAAGATGAATGACTATCCTTTTTTTTTAAAGTTTCCTTACCAGTGTAAACTTCAGCTATGTTGAATGTGCCTCATTCTGCTTCACGTAAGTAAAATAAAACCCATCTGCATTTGGACTTGGGACTCAGAAGCAAATAAGTTGAACATAAAAAAGGAAGCTTACCACGAATGCTACTGTACTTCTCAATGTGGATTCCCACTGGAAGCAGCTTTTAAGGAACTGTACTACATTCCAGAGTGTCATGGTGAGTCTTTTCACTCGGTCTACATCTCTTGATAAGATCTGATTAAAAAAATGGAAAACAGAGAACTAGGTTTAAACACTCCAAATATTCTCTTTAGATCAGACAGCTTGGTCATTTAAATTATATTCTGTATAACTGCCAATGAACAAAACAGTAAAAATGAAGAGTCCTAATACTTTCTCTAAAGTTCATTTTTAAACTATGATCATCCTGGGAGGAAAAGAAAATCCAATGCATTTTATAGCTCCTTTGAAGGAGAATAGGCTGTTTCAATAATGTTCAGTACAAAACTGAGCTGGTAAAAAATACAGCAGTCAGGGGACTTCCCTGATGGCACAGTGGTTTAAGAATCCACCTGCCAATGCAGGGAACACGGGTTCGATCCCTGGTCTGGGAAGATCCCCCATGCTGTGGAGCAACTAAGCCCACGCACCACAACTACTGAGCCTATGCTCTAGAGTCTGCGAGCCACAACTACTGAGCCCACGCGCCACAACTACAAAAGCCTGAGCATCCTAGAGCCCACGCGCCACAACTACTGAGCCCGCGTGCTGCAACTACTGAAGCCCGCACACTTAGAGCCCGTGCTCCGCGACAAGAGAAGCCACCAGTGAGAAGCCCGCCCACCACAACAAAGAGTAGCCCCCACTCGCCTCAACTAGAGAAAGCCCGCACACAGCAACAAAGACCCAATGCAGCCAAAACAAACAAACAAACAAACAGCAGTCAGGCATGTGAAATGTGTGTGTGTGTGTGTGTGTGTGTGTTTGAGAGAGACAGATGGAATGAGGGTCTATGTTGTTTAGTTTGGAAGGAAATGGGTAGATTTACAGTAGAAATGTACACGTATTCTAGCTCATCTAATCCAGAAGAAAAAGTGTATTCTATAGGAAAGTAAAGCTCTGGAAAGGAAACCCAGCTCTCCTACCTCTTTGCTGTGTGACCTTGGGCCAGTTTCTTAACCTCTCTCTTATTCAATGGGGTTGATAGGAGTGCTAACCTTGTAGGTTGTGGAGAGAATTAAAGGGCTTAGAAGAGAGCCTGGCACATATTAAGTAATTTTAAGTATTTGTGTCATGAGCACAAGTTTCAACTTTATAAAAATCTGGGGACACTTAGTGCTGAGAGGAACTTGGGGAGAAACCTAACACACCCCAGGGTCTCAGCCCCAAAACCCCCGGTGCTCTCAGAGCCCAAAGCCACCCAACGCGGAGGTCCTGTTTGGCAAAGGAAATGTCTTTTCTCCCAGTTGTAGGTAGATTCATTTCAATTTGTTTGCAAAGCAGCTATGCCACTTACCTCAACTCAGGTTTTAACTTTCAAGTAAACAGAGCAAAAGGCAATAATAACAACAATAATAAAGCCATTTACTCAGATTACACAAAATAAATATTACACTCAACGTTACACAGACCAAAACAAAACATGTGGACGCTCCATTCAGAAGAGGTTTAAGGCCTTTCCCGAGTGTGTCCAGAAGTTCATGGGAAACCAAAGGATGATAAGATGCCTTTATATTTAACTTGCTTTCTGTAATCCACAGCTGCTCACCCCATAGGAAGTGGTGGAAGTAATAAACACTTTAAAAAGGGGACACTTTGTTCTTAGCTACACAACTGAAGAGGGAGAGTAAGTACAGAGTGAAATCCTGAACTGTCTGAATAGGACAGGGAGGGGCTCTGAAAAGAACTGTAAAGGTCATGTTAAAAAAAAAAAAAAGTGAAACTCCCTCTACTTGGCCCTGATCTTCACTTTTTGTTGAACTGATGAAAGAGGAATTAAGGGCAACAGGCAGAGGGAGTGAGAGTTAATTCAATAGGAGGTAAAATGCCAACACAATCCAAATTTAGGCAAAAATGTGGCAGGCGCAGGTATCGGTGAATCTGAGGCTGGACATCTCGAAAGATCAACTGGGTTAATTCCATGATGGACTCCACTGGCAGAATGCCTCCCTGAAATGTTGAAAGATGGAGACTAAAATGGCTGTGATTAAAGGAGGGTAGGAGGGGCAAGTACATTCAAGAGAAGGTTTATGGCTTGACGCTTAGAATTTTTGTTTACAAAATGGTTCAGGGGATGAATGGAGGGCTGACACCCTCTGCAGCATCCAATAGATATGTTCTGAGTCTTTCCCTTCTTACTGAGCCCAAGTGAAGTCCTTGTCTAGGGAGAGAAGGAGAGATAGCGGAAGGAGTGGCGAGATGGGGAGACAAGCGGGGAGAGGGAGGAGGGAGAGAGGAAAACAGAGAAGGAGGGCGAGATGCAACCAAGTCATGACCAGTAAGTACTCCGGGTGCTGTGTGCTGACTGTACCAACAAGCCAGTTTACTGCACTGACCTACCTTTTTGGACAGCTTGCGGCTATCTTCAACAAAGCGCTTTTCTCTGGGAGTAAAGGTCCGAATACTTGCTTTGATCTAGAAAGACACCAGTGTTAAAAGGGGCAGCATTGAGATGGACTTCACTGTCTTCTTTTTCTAATGACTGAGAAGCACTGGAAACCAATACCTTCTGACCCTAAGGGTGCGGGGTTAGGGGTTTTGGGGGGTGGGCAGAGACATGGTGGGTACCCGGAGCTCTGCATGGGTCTCTGGAGTCTCATTTCATGAGCATCACTCGGGTACGTCAGACTGGAGATTCCAGAGTGTTGTTTCCACGTTGCAAATTAAAGAGATATTTTAAACCACTGCAGAGATTGGGCTCATGAAGTCCTCAAACCAAAGTCTCTAAAAAAGTAAAACTTCCTTTTTTCACATCAAAGTTTTGAACTACTCTTTGCTAGTAATACCTTGCATGTGAAAATCAGTTTCCGGCTTATAAAAACATCTTTTCCATAGAGAATCTCATTTCCTCTCAATGATCCAGAAAAATAAGTAAATGAGTCATTTTAGCCCAGCTTTTAGGGAATAAACTGAGGGTCAGAGAGATTTCGTGGTTTATCCAAATCACTGAACTGAGGAAAACCTCAAAGAACAAAATTCAAGCCCTTCTCCTCTACATCAGATGGACAACTAGAACATTACTTAACAGTTTTTAATTTAAGGATGTTTTTCCCCCTAAAACTCAAGTTTTACCTGTGTGCATGGTCTATATACAAGTACCTGCCAGAAGAAAAGAGGAGATGAAGGGTGATCTGTGTGCAACACATACATATGATCTCCTTGAAGGGAAAGGTTAAGAAATGGGGAAAAAGAGGAAGTAACAACAGACCCCATACTGGAGGCTGTGCCCAGAGTTCTAACATTCCCAGGAATAAAATATAAAACTTCCCTGCCATTGATTTTATGAATAATCTCTTAAAGATAGTAAACAATCAGCAATGTAACATTGGGATAATTGAGGAGTCAGAAAGATCTGGATCTGGATCCCGACTCACTCATTTATCAGCAGATCAGCTCCCCTGTTTAATTCCATTTGCTCATGATAAGATGGCATTCATGATAGCTAGGGACCAGGCTTATTGCGGGGATGAAATGAAATAATATCAGAGCCTGGCCCATCGTAGATGGCCAATAAATGGCAGCCATTCTTCTAATTATTGTAAAAGCGCCATTATGCTACATTCATTTACCCCACTAACTGGATTAACCTGTGCTCTCCCTTCCCTTTCTAGAACCTACTGCTGATACTATGACAAGGAATGCTCACAGCTAAGTAAGCCATGTCCGCGCACAACTAGGGATTTCTGCTCCTGGCACTTGAACAGTATGCCCATCTAGAACCAACTGTGCTAATTTGCGAACCGATTTATGCCCATTTTACCCGTTACTATAATTCTATATTAATTATATAAATTATTGAAATACAGATCAAAAGACTTGAAATCGATGTTGCTCTAGAAAGCCTGGAGAAAGGTCAGTGACTAAAAAGATACTGCTACTGAGGTGATGATTTTATGGAAAAATAATCAGGAGGAATTCCACATTCAGATTGTTCTCTGAGTGCTTTTAAAGAATATCTCTACTTTCAAGAAACTGAAATTAGAAATCATAGATGTTATGGGTGTATTTATGCAATATGCTGTAGAACTAAAAATAATATGTCCATGCTATTTAAAAAAAGGTTTTAGGCCCACACCTAAAAATTGGCAAGTGAATGTATATTTATGTATTTTGTTTATATTAAACTAAAAGTTTAAGATACATTAAAAAAAAATCCTCCTTTAACTGTAGTTTTCAATTGAGTAACTACCTGTCTTGATAGTGTTGGATAGCAGGACATCTACTATAATAATTAAATAACATGTCAGAGGCTTGAAGATATCTCTGTCCAACAGCCAACTGTTGCCTTGGAGGAAGATTAAAGGTAATAAAGCTAAGAACCTAATTTTCCTCTTATTTTTTTTTCCCTTGACATTTATTGAGAATTACACACCATCAATTCTACTGGTCCAACAGGATTAATACCAGACTGTCCAGCACTGATTTTTCTTGGCTCAGTTTTAAAACACTATTTTCTTTGTAGCTGCAAAAATTCTGAAACATTTTACATTGATTTGAATCTCTCCAGGCTGGTCACCTTTTACTTTCCATAGAGAGAAGCTGGGAGATATGTCCAGTTAGACCTACCGGATTATATATGAGGTCCATCTCCAAGTAAATAACTCCTTTAAAAGCTTGTTCTAAATCTTTATTCTTCAACACGTAACAGTTTGTCTGTCCGTCTCGAATCTGTCATAAACAATAGATAAAATACAGACTTTCTATGGAATTTAAACTGAACGAGCTGACAAAATTGAAATTGCAGAACGTATACACAGATGAAGCCAATATTAAGCAAATATTAAAACTATGTAAATATTAAATCATAAATCAACTTTTAATTCTAGAGTGCTGCTATAACTGATAAGAAGATAAAGTAACAATCACCAGGCTGAAACCGATATACGAGAGGAAAATTAGTGGTACAAATGATTACTGAGCCTACCAGGGCTTTCATTCAAAAATCCCAGAGGTTAAACATTTTTATTTGTTAAAAAATGATGAATATTCTACAAAATTTCTGGCAAGTACTACTCAAGATTGCCAAGGTCATGGGAAAAAGGAAAAACTTGGAAACTGCCACAGTCAGAAGACTAAGATTAGATGATAAAATGCAATGTGGTACCCTGGGTTGGATCCTGGAACAGAAAAAGGACATTAGTGGAAAAACTGGTGAAATCCAAATAAAGACCAGAGTTTAGTTAATAGTAATGTACAATGTCAGTTTTTTTTTTAGTTTTGATAAATGCATCATGGCAATGTAAGATGTTAACATTAGAGGAAACTAGGTGAGGATAGATGGAAACTCTGTATCACTTTGCAAATTTTCTGTAAACCTAGAATTATTCCAAAATAAAAAGGTTACAAAATAAGATGTTTTAGCTATTTATAATATGGTATTTTATTTTATAAAAATATTATAAAATATTTTATACAATATTTTATAAAATATTGTCTTATAAAATATTTTATAAAATATTATTTTATACAATATTATTATATACAAATACTATGAAATATTTTAAAGAAATGAATAAAGGAACGAGTTTTCTAAAAATGACCAGTGATTCACAGCCAAGGTCCAATGCAAATTAAATAAATCAGCACAGCTAAAGTTGAGGTCAAAATACAAAAACATTTCAAAAGAACAATGTGCTGATAAACCTACAAAATAAACAACTTCTTCTGATAGCATCTCTCAGCCAAGCATGTCACATCAATTCCACATACCAGTCTACCTGTGGACCCCAGCATGTGAGGCATCTAAGAAAAAATCCCCTGTATCATTTTGGAAATGACTTGGCTCCCATTATGGCATCTTCTTTTCAGATCTGATAGCAGCAATGCTTATATTATACAGAGTGGTAGTATATGCATTTTTAAACTTCTGGCTTATTTGAAGCATATCTGTTAACTCCAACAAGGCAGAGCAAAACTTGAACTGACCAAAAGCTCCATTTGGGATTGTAATGATCAAACATCTGAAATAACATAGGAAATTTGAGGGCATGAAATCTGAGCCATATTTTAAATGACTATTGCTGTCACTACAAGAATCCAGCACAAGTGTTCTTATAAACAGTGGTGGAGATGAGTTGAATAAGTCACAGGGGGTAAACAGAGCCATTCCACTTTACAAGGGAGAGGTCACCTTCCTTCCCAAAGTCACCCCACCTCTCTCAAATTGAATAGGTTTTAAACAGAAAGATGGTTTTCCTGGCCAGTGGCTAAGAGGAAGGGGGTACCCCATAAAGACCTGGCTTCCTTCCTAAACGGTATCCAAACAGGATTCTGAGCTTCCTCTTTTATCCACTGTCTCACTTAATAAATTGTGGGTGTTAAAGTTGAAAGAAATAAATACAAAAACAGCATATGACAATTTGCCAAGCTGACTTTGGTCCAGTTTAGTTTTGCCTCAACCCATAATCATTGTACTGTTATCTTAAAATTTCCATGATTTCTTAAGAGTTAGGAAGGGCAACAGAAGAATAAGAGGTATCAGTATAAAAAGAAATATTTTATAGTCAAAGAAGTTTTTTTGTTTTTTTGGGTAAATGACCATTTCCTCTTTCTCAATGTCCTAGAATTGTGTCAGGAAAGCACAGAATCCACCTAGGACATTAAAGAAGTTTTTAAAGCTAGAGATATAATTAAGGCTACTCATGTTTGGCACTTTCATATATTATTTTAAAATATGCAAATTGTAAGTTTAAAAATTTGTAAAAAGACTGAAAAATTATAGGAAATATAAAAGTCCCTTTGAATGTCCATAAATATCACAATTCTTTCCCTGAGAAGGAAATTAGATAGGAATTTGGCACGTACCCTTTCTAAATTTTTATTGAGAATTTATATTCATAAATACATCCTTGAAGAAAGTATTTTACATTTTTTGTGTTTCAAACTGTATATATTTTGTATTTCATTCTGTATGTATCAATAGTATTTGGTAATATGTCTGTATTAGTATATAGATCAGCCTCATTTCTTTAAACTGCTATGTAAAATTCAAAATCTGAATAAACCACAATTTATGAATCCTTCTATTTATGAATATTTGGTTGATTCCACTTTTTCAGTCTGTCCTCTATAAGGAATATCTTTTGGGAAAAGATAAACTGAGAGATAGAGGAAATACACTACTTTGTATTTGGGATATGCTTGGGTTAAGAACAGATCAATGCATTTGAATATTTAGTGTTATAATTAAACACTGAGATAGTAACCAAAGAAACTATTTGTTAAATATTTTCATTTTCCATGGTGTTTATATAATTGAACTTCAAACACATGAATACAGGATAAAAAGTTCGGTAACACCCCAACTTGCCAAACTCCTACATGACAGTATTTATATAATAAATGAAAGCTAAACATATATTTTTCCAGTCAAGAACTATATTTATTATTTATGCTTAACTCTGAAAATTATTTCTAGCATTTTATAATGTTAAAACCTCTATGAAATAGGACAACTGAAGCACAGCTAAGAGAAAACTTAGAGCAAAGAATCTATATATACTTTTGTCTTTAGGTATGAGATAGTCACTTCAATTAAGACAAGTTTAATTCTGAGATCTCTATCACCCAAGGCAAATTGTGACAAAAGGAAATCTCAAAGTTCAACTGCAGAGTCTTCCTGGGCTGACATCGGGGAGGATTTCATTTCACTCAAATAGAAGGATGAAATAATAGATAATGTCCTTAACTTTAGTATTACAAGAAAAGTCTTCAAATTGACTTATCACACACTTTTACATACTTGCCTTTCCATAGGTGAGGAGTACAGATATCAGGCAATAACTTGGGGAAGGCATCTCAGCAGGACAGTTATAAAGATTTAACCTAATTAGCAATTAAACTTCCATAATTAGGGAAATGGGCATTTGCATGTTCCTTTACATTATTTTCAGAAACAATATGATATATCAGAAAGCTAACCATGCTAACCGTGAATTCATGGTTACATCAGACAGCGAACGAAATAGCACAGGAAGTCTGTTTCTGAGTAATGATTCAGGATTTCAGAGCCAGGGAACAAGTTACAGAGAAGGTAGTCTGGTTTAGATTTTAATCTGACCTGAAGTTATCTTTAACCTACGCAATTTTTCTCTATCTAAAAGAATTTTAAATCTGCTTCCACAAGCTTTAAGCATGGTAAATATGAAGAAGTTTTAAAAAGTTTGGTGATAAAACTAATTTTTGAGTCAAAGAGATACTACATTCATTATACTAGAAAACAAAACTTTTTAAATTGGCATATAACAAAGGTTAGTATGTGGGACAGAGAAAAAAATATTTTTCTCAGCTGGAACTCTTTTTTAAGAAGTCTCCTTATTTAAAAAAAAAAAAACAAGAAAAAAAAAGAGAATTCTCATTATTATGCTTTACTGTAAAGTTTTGACGTGACAAGATATCAACTGATTCAACAGCAAAGTTAATCAGAATCGATATGAAGGGATAAAACCATCAGTTGCTTTAAGGAGAAAAGATACACATTTAACATCAAAATCCAAACTGAAGAGTCATATTGATCCTCCCCAGCCCCCAATTCGACCTTCATGTGAATAAATGGAGAACATTTGGGTGTAAACAAGCGTTATTCTATCAGAAGCTTTTCATTGCATGCAAAAGGGAAAATAATGTGACCTAACAATACAGCAGGTGATCCCCACTAATGCACATGCAAGGTGACTCCAACAAAATGTGATGTGAACAGACACATATTCACATGTGATATGTGGCTAGGAAAGAAGAAAACTTGGTAGTGATTCTTTACTTGGTAGTGATTCTATTCACATCCCCACTTGGAAACACGCCTGTTTACCACCGCAGGAGTTACAAACAGCACAAGAGATTGAAAAGCCCATAAGGTCCCTGTTGGCCCTGACACAGTCAACCACCAGCCAGTAGAGGCAGCACTGAACTCATCACCCCAGCCCTCCACATACAACTCACCTTTCTCTGTGCAAGGCAATCCAACCCACCCATTGCCTGAATCCAAAACCCAGCACTGAACTTTGGTAAAGGCAGAAAACCCTGCTGTACCCAAAATGTATTATCAACTCCTCTCCCTGAAATAGAAGCTGTCTTTACAAAGTAATATTTACTAATTGTAAGAATGGTGTACAATTTACAAAAATAGCTTAAAAAAAGGGAAAAAAATGTAACTTTTACAGTATTCCATTTTTTAACAAACATCTCTAATTTTTAATGTACTTTTATAAATAGTTATCTTATGAAAATAGGATCATAGTGTATTGGATGAAGTTTGGGACTCCTTAGAGGCAGATGAAGTGAGTTTAAATTCTGGCTCTGCCTCAGAGTGGCTGGGTTACTTTGGATAAGTTACATAACTCCTCTCTTCTTCAGTTTCTTAATCTGTAAAGTGTGAATAAAAAAAAAACAAAAGGATACATATCTCAGCAGTTGTTGTGAAATAATCAGCAAAAAGCAGTAAGAACAGTGACAAGTACACAGAAATTGCTTATTAAATAACATGATTTTTTCTGTCTTACCTTCATTTATGTACTTTTTAATCACTCATGTTTTAAACTTAAAAAAAGTATGGGAAACATTCTCCAATGTAAAAATCGATTCTTCTCCATAATTTAGAGTGGTTCTTCATCTTATGAATATTCTATAATTAGCTTAACCAATCTTCCATTGTAACTAAGATTGTTTCCAAT